CCCCCCCCCAAATATAGTGTGCTACAGTGGGATATGCAAAGTGGAAAGTAGTGGATATTTTAGTAACTATAGACCAGAAAAAAGAATAAGGTTTTTCATGCCGTGTAATACACTTTGGGTCGATAGGCTGTGAATTCCAAAAATAATTAATTATATAATAAAATACTTGATTCGTCTTTGACCATGATGATAAGCGAATTTGAGCAAAAGTCAAATGCGTCCACTCGTGATATGTTCTTAAGATTTGGAAGTAGTCAAAAGTGTCAGATTACAAAGCCAAGTGTTTAATGATGGAGATGATCGAGAACAACTAATCGATATAACTCATGTTTTAGGGTACCTACCCCTCCCAATTTTTTGTAGAAAAGTTTTCATTTTGAGCTCAACATAGTCTAATGTAGAGGAAAGTCTAGGCTATAAAATGAGACCACTCCCAACTCTCCACGACTTTCCTTTGAAAAAATTGTGAAGTTTTTAAGTTTTTCCTTCGAAGTCTAAAAAATCTCAATTTTTTAGTTTCGTAAATTTTTCTCCTTTCCTATATATATTCAAACTTTCTTCTTATAAATAGCATCCTAGAAGGAAATGTGCTCTTCAAAATGAACGTCTTCCAGAATTTTTCGATGAATTTTCGTGGAGATACAAGCATCACCGCAAATGCCCTGAAAAACAGAGCTCTGTGTATTTTTTTTCTCACTATGCGTTTTTTCTATAATCCCTTCAATCGGATCACATTACGACCCCGCGAAAAAATGGTTCGATCGATCTCAGAAAACCCATAGAAGAACACGTTAGAAAGTTCTGGGCAAAAATATATCGATTTCCTTTTTCAATGTTCTATGTCTAGTATAAATTTCGCCCTGATCCAATATAGGGTTTCATGATTTCCAAGAGGGTCAAGAAAGAGGGGGGATTAACTTTAAGTACAAAACGTGCATTCCATCAGTCGATGTTCTTGAAAAATTGAAAAAATGCACGAAACAAGCACGTTTTTTATCAGACAACATACGAATACTTGTTTTGGATCAAGGCATACAAAAGAGAATAAAAATTGTTTAATACTCTAAAGATTTTCCAACGTTGCACTAGTGAATATCTATCAAGATGTTTTGTTTTTTAAACAAAACCATTCCCTACAAGCGTTCGATTACGAGATGAGCGTCGCTAGTTGCCGATATGTTTCTAATACCGTCATCGTTTTATTTTTTTTCGGTCTAGTGTCCTTATAAATAGATTAGTTCTGTTCTTTTATTCCTGTATTCTGCAAGTTTGCTGTCTGAGCTACATAACGAGTGTTTAATTACTCATATTTGCTCAGGGGAAAATCCCCGAACACGAAGTAGAAACTACTAATCCATAATATGGATTTATCATTCTCGTATGCCTAAAATGAACCCAATCAGCCAAGAGAAGATCGTAAAAACGTCTTTGAGCTATTTAGGTGAGTTTGATATCGTTGAAAGAAAAGTCATGCAAACAAACTATTTGAATAAAATGGTTGTACTCGAGGGGGTTTATGAGCAGGATACATACTTTTTCTCAAATCACTTTGAACATAATTATAATTTGCAGGTTTGGACTCAACTGAGATACTTGATTAAAATATGGATTATATCTCAGTTGAGAAACCAATATTTCTGCGAAAATATTCGTTTCTCAACTGAGATGCATTTTATAAAATATGGACTTCACGATTTTCTCAACTGAGGTACATTTTTGATACTTGCGTTGCACCGTGCAATTGTGCAAGAGTGCAGTGTACTAATGAAATTAGGTATATGATGTATCTATATTGACTATCTGAGGAATTAAACGTTTTATGAAAAAAAGTAGTTATATGCAAAGTGGCGTGAAAGTCGTTGAAATTCTTGTAGATCAATTTCATCATTCACAAATGCATTTTTGGCAGACACTAAATGAATATCATGTTGAACATCTTGTTTTCTCTTTTTTCTATTCGTGCTTCCTTGTTCAACGCGTAACTGTTATTTCTCTTTGAGTTTCTTTTTGAACAAAATCTATTTCTTTTTTAGTATACTGTTTTAGTGCACTCTTGCACAATTGTACGTTTCAACGCAAGTGTCAAAATTGTATCTCAGTTGAGAAACGAATATTTTTGCAGAAATATTGGTTTCTCAACTTAGATACTTGAATAAAATATGGGTCGTATCTCAGTTAAGACGTTACACTTTTGCAGATATTTATAAGGCAAAAGAAAACTTTAAAAAAATAACATATAAACCCTTCTATAAAGAATAAATTTATTTCGATTAGAGAATTAGTATTTTAATTTTCAATGAATAAGTGTATAAAAGCACAAATGTTTACATATGAAAATAAAAATCAATAGTCATTATTCTATCTTTTTATTATTTCTATTTTTACAAGATTATTTATTACGAAAAAAAAAGGTAAAGAACAAAACAACGACAATAAGAGTCATCAAAAATAATTTATAAATAGAATTGACGAACATTATCTGACATATGCAACAACAAAAGAAAAGCCTTTCAAAAAGAAAAAAAGTCCCTGAGAAAACAATAGAACTATATATTTATATATACAATGAACAATAAAGAAAATTTACTTTTTATCTGACTAATACAATTGGACATTATGTTACCGACCTATAATAAAATGAAAGAAAACTGTATGATGATCATCTAAGTATTATTAATAAGAATACCTCTTGTCCATGGAAATGGAATTCGTGGTCTTTTTATTTTTGGTTTTGTCTGAAAACATAAAATAAAATAAATAAAGTAACGAATTTTAAAACATAACTATTAAATATACGTACAAATCCTGATAGACTATTAGTATCACAACTTTTGTAATTTTTAAACAAATTTGATTCTAAAAATCTAGGATAACTATCATATTTCATTGTACGATAAATCTAAACAAGAACATGAATGAATTATTCGTATTATGCCCTATTAATCAAAGAGATAGTTTTACTTCAGCCTGTGCATTAGCAAACATGGATGAATGGGGTTTATGAAGATGCTGTTGACATTGTTGTCTTGTAGAATCGGAAATATTAATATTTATTTTCAATGGTAATGTCGATGAATTCTGAAATTCTGGATAATTATTTGCAAAATAATCTGACCATATTGATTTCGCTCTTTGACAAATCTATTAGGAAAAAAACGTCCAACGACACTTAATACTATTTTAAAACATATAAAACATTTGTTTTCTCACCTCATTGTGATTTGTTAATGTTTTAAATTGTTCACATTCTAACCAAAATTCTATATTTTCATTACTGTATTCAATTTTCTGAAGAAATTCCTAAATTTAAAGATAAATAAACTTGTCACATATTTTTCGAATAAAATGACTTAATTTACTTTGAATAATAATAAGCCAACATTGTCTGCTAATAAATTTTCAAAATTGATTGCCCAATTCATTTTACGTGTTTCAATATCATCATTCTATAATTAAATAAAATAAAAATTTTATTAAAAAATAAATAAAATATTCATTTATAAAAATACTTTATTAGATTCAGAATTTGTTTGATTATTCTTGTCTTTTGTTGTTTTTGAACTTTTAAAATTATTACTCATCCATGACATTAACGATGATCGACGTCGATTTGATTGAGAAGATGATGATGTCTCGTTTATACTATGAACAGAATAACATTTTTCCAACTGAGTCTAAATAGAACGAATGACTAAGATAGTATACCGTATGAAATTTTATCAACAAACTCTGATGATGATGATGATGATAAAAACTTACATTAACAGCAAATCGTTGTTGCTGTACAATCACTGCTGACGATGTTGATATGTCGAGTGACGGTTTTGTTTCGACAAAAACAAGTTTTTTATCTGATTGACAATTAGATAAATCATTTAATGTCGCTGTTACTGTATGAAATGATGTTTCATGATTTGCTATTGAATGTCGTCGTTGTGGTTGTTGTGATGGTAAATGATCAATCCATTTTAGTTTGTTTGCACATGTGTCTAACGGTTGAAATGATGATGCTGAATCAGTAAAATGTTCTTCACCAAATGATGATGATGAAGATGAACTGGATAATAAAGGTATTGGTGATGGATCAACTGGAAAATAAGCCAGCTTTGGATTCCATTCTGCACTATGGTCATACTGTCTGGAGAAGAAAAAATAAATAAAAAGTAAGAAAAAACCCAGAACTATAAGTCTATTATGTTATTCTCCTTTATAACTTTTTATAGTCAAAACTGAACATCTATTTGCGAAGTTTGAGATTCTCAACTCGAAGCTGATGCATTGACTATGAGTAAACATACTCGATTGAACTTGTTTCTTCGTCTTCTACATCATTATTATTATCAACGATAATAATTTTAGATGGTGGAGGTGTAACTGGATGTTCAGCACGTATAAATGGTTCTTGTACAATGAATTTATCGATTTGTGGTGTTAATATTCTTCTACCATCATGCTTTTCTTCTTCAATCGATTGTCTTAAATGATCAGATGATTCAATTGATGAACATGATTGACTATCCGTTGTCGATGTTGTGGCTGTTGAACTATAAACAAAATCAAAATTACATGAACTACCAATCGAATTTCCACATGAACTGTATGTTGATCCCACATCTAAAACAAAACAAAAAGAGATATTATTATAATTTTGAACACTTGTATTTACTCAGAATTAGAGTAATATCTTTATTGTTAGAAAGCGGCGAGGTTTGAGCCACCACCTCTTTTTTCCGCAGAACTGACTTTGAATGTATCGACAACCAATACTAACCTAAATGTCTTTCGTTCTGCTTATCACTCTTTATCTTTTGTTTATGACTACTTTTTATATGCATAGTTGATTTTATCTTCTGTTGTTGTTTGCATCTATGATAACAACAATTTTTTCCTAACTGAAATAGACATTGTATTAATGTATTTCTTTCTTGAATTGTATTTGAACGAAATATCAAAAATGAACTCGCT